TTCATTGGTCAAGGCAGGAGGTAGGGGTAAGTACATACATTAGGCAAAGCCTAAGCCCATCAGAATCATCTGGAAGGCTTGGGAAAAGCCAGAGGGCTGGACCCCACCCTGGGAGCCCTGATTCAATAAGTGGGGCTCAAAAATTTGCATTTATGCTGCTATACTCTGGGATTAGTAAGAGTTTCCCAAGGCTTCAGGATTAGGAAAACTTCTTCCATCTTGCAGATTTGAACGGTAGAGAGGGTGCATTCTTTGGGACTCTTTTGGGTTCTGAGACACATCTAGCCAGCCAGGATTCCCCAAGTCCCTCAGAGAAATAATTCTGAAGGTCCACACTATCTAATGTGGAGTGTCCTCATAGGTCTGTGGCTGTGCAAGGTAAAATTAGAGTCTTGTGTCTGGAAGAGACCTTGTTCTATTCATTGCTGAGTTAAGTGTGGAGTAAAGGACTCAAAGCAGCCTCTCAAATAGTTACTGTAAAAGGGAGAGCCATGGGTAGAGGGCAAGTTCCTGGACTTCTCCCCCAGTGTTCTTTCCAAGTACATCACCACCCTTCTTGCCCCTCTGTTTCCGTGGGACGTGCTGGGCAGTTATTTCCTAAGCAAGTTTTATTACTCCTGTGCCCTGACACCAGGTCCTACAGGAAGCCACCAAAGAGTTAACTTTATTTGGACTAGGAGCCTGAGCCAAGTACAGAGTGTCCATTGTGCACCCGCCCCCTCTGGAGGAGTCGCTGACTGCTGGAATGTGACAAGGCAAAAGGTTTTCACCTTGCGTTGGCTCCTCTCCTCTGTGAGTGCACAAGTGGGTGCGTGTGCTCACGCTCACATGTTGGCAGGGGTACACTACAAGAGAACTCTCAGTTGTCTCCCAGACTCACCAAAAAAGTGAACCGTGAATTTGGGGTGGCAGGTATATGCTGGGAGAAGGGAAAAGGAGAACAACAGCTTTGTGTGCTGGGGAAGTAAACAGACAGGTTAGGTTTCTTTGCTCTTCACTTTTAAAAGCTTCTTTATTTTTTTAAGGTGAGGGGTGCATGTGGACATGGGGGGCTAGATTATAATCCTCAGCATAGGCAGTGAATTTCACAGAGGGCTCTTGGGCTGGCAGAGCTGCAGTCAAAGTAGTTGGAACCACAGGACTTTGAAAGCTGTCAGGGGGCTAATTCATTTTCATTCAGAAAGAACTTGAAGCCCTTCAAGTACCCAATCCTGCACTCGGTGTTGAAGCAAATATAAGGGTTGTACAACCACAGTCGGTCTTAGCCTGAGACTGAATTGCGATTGAGTAAGGAAAATAAGATTTGTGTGCTCGAAACAGCAAGAAGACGATGTAAGACTAGTATTTAGTGGCAAACTATACAGCTGGGTGCAGTGTAAGTCAGGCCAGGGAGTGAATGCTGTGGTCCAGAGTTTATTAAATGTTGCCATGAAGAAGTGAAGGCTTGGGCATGACCTTGAACTATGGAAAGGTTTGGGATCTGTGTGTTTGCTTGTTCATTCCTTCGTGCGACAAACATTTGGAGAGGACCAGTTGTATGCCAGTCATTGCATGGGTCGGTAGAAGGGGATATAAGAAAAGATTCTATAAAAATACCAAGGTGGAGAGAATTCTGTGTTTGTAATGCCACAGTGGAGACTGGTTTGACTTGAAAAGGCAATGTAGGTTGGTGGCTAATGAGCCCTAAGACTAGATTCTTAAAGTGAGACCGGTACAGAAAATCTGGAAGTGATGTGTTCGTGAACATTGGGATGATTTGAAACTGTGTTACTGTTTGATCTCTGTTATTTACCATGTCATACTCAAGACTGCCCTGGTTCGGGTCCTCATGCCACAAGAACTGAATTTCAGTTGAGCCTCCTTATGGTCCCCCTGCCTCTAATATCAGGTTCCATTAATTCACCCCTTACACTACATGCCAGAATTATCTTCCTAACGCGCAGCTTTGATAGTGCCTCTTTCCTACTAACATCCCTTAAATGGCTTTCCATTACCTGTAAGATAAAATCTAGCTCATTAGCATAGCATTCAAGGGTGTCCTGTGATCTGGTTGTAACCTTTTATCTCCAGCTTTAACTCCCACCAGTCCCCATTTTGTGCCACATCTCCTGGCCAAGCGTCAACTTTCTCTTTCCTGAGCGTGACCCTCCTGCAGGCTCCTGCTTCAGGCCTCCCTGCATGCTGTTCCCTCTGTCTGCCATGTTTTCCTTCTTCCCACTCCACCTGTTGAAGCCCCTGAAGGTCAAAGCCATATTCTGTGCTCTCCTTGAAGCCTTCCTGTGTAGTTTCCCATCTGTTTCTCTGTACCTCACTGAAGCGGGAAACATTTTCTCTTCCCTTGTTTCTCTTCTTTACTATAGGACATATAAATATCTACTTTGTTGTAGTTGTTTTCCAAATCTCTCTTCAAGAATGCGAACTCTTTGAAGAAAGGGACTGTATTTCAGTTGTTATCTTAGGATCTTGACTGGAGGAGCACTGAAAAATAAATTGTTGAATTTTCATTTTTTTGTGGACCTCTCACAACTTGAGTTTTAAGTTTCAAAATGTTGTCTTCAACATCAATTAATTCATGATTTATACCATTCAATATAAGGAACTCTGAAGGGAATTTTTTTTTTTAATGGGAGAGATTTTCTTAATAATATACCATTTCACACTACTATCCATTCCTCTAAAGTTAGATTTCATCTTCTTTTATCACAGCACAGAACTTGCAATAGACGTTCAAAGGTCCAGGTGGATTTAGTTTAGGTTAGGAACGTTTAATGGAGAACATGGCTCACTTTTTTGCCCTGACACAAGAATAACTTCATAAATACGTACCAGGGAATTAAATGTCACATTGAAGATTCCTGTCAGAGGAAGCAAACCACTGAATACTACTGCCTTGTGAAAACATGGCTTGCAGTTTGGATGGATCCGGGGTACGAGCTGAGAAAGATCTACTGGACAATTGGTGCTTGACACACAGGGACACATTCTAAGGCATCTTGATGTCTCCTCAACAGCTAGTGTGGTACCCGACAACCAGTAAGAGGGGCCTCGATGAATGTTGACTTGAATATGACTTTTTAAAAATTATGTAAAGTTTTAGGAAGGTAGATCAGTCTGGATGACACAAATAATCTTACAAGTAAAAGAAACTTCAAGTGTCACCTGGTCTAACTGCCCTCCCCTGCCCCTAAGTGGGGACTTTGTCCCTTCTGTAGCCTGGGGCACAGGTGGCTGCCCAGTCTTCTTGTGACAGATTCAGTGAAGATGCTCTTGCTCTCACTAGGGCAGCCTCTTCTCTTCCAGAAATGCTGTGTTCCTTGGGTTTTCCCCTTAGAGGAAGCAGTTGTAAATGTGTCTTTCTGCAGGGCTGAGCGGTTTCCAGGAGCCGAGTATGCTCCTGGGCTTCTCTGGGGAGCAGAGAATGGCTGCCTTGCTGGCCAGCTTCCTCACACCATATCAGCTGAAAATGTACTGATTCCAGAGGGAGAAAAGACATGCCCGGTCTCCAGGCTTCATTTTTGGCTGTTCTCAATGTGTCTTTGCAGTTCTTAGGCATTTTCTGGCGGGCACATTTGCTGGTTACTACCTTGAATTGCTGGGCTCCAAGGTAGAAGGTGTGCAGTAATGTCTTCTGCCGGGAAACCCCAGCCCATTGAGCTATTTAAGGCTTGAGTGTGATCTCACCTACAGCCTAGGGATGGAAGAAGATAGTGTCTTGAAATTTTGTGTAGCCCTGGGGCTCTCTGTTTTCTCTTGAGGATGAGCACTGCATTTCCTTTGGGGTCTTGAAAATGACGAGTCTGAAACTGGGAATAATGGGACATACAGTGAATAAGGGTGAGGGATAGTTTAGCTGGTCCTATGATGGTCTGAAGAGAACCTGACTGATGTTTCTGGTTTCCTCTGGAAGGAAGGCAGACTCAAAGACCCTGGGGGTGGGGGGTGGGGAGAGTCATTCCTGATACCTCCAAAGGCCTGTGAAATGCTCCTTCTCTCTTTTTCCTTTTTTTGTTGTCATGTAGACAGAATGCCACTTTATTTAAGGACCAGAAAGGGAATTAAAGCTGTCTCGAATGGCTATTTTTATCTAAATAATTGATAATGATTAAATATCTTTTGTGTGGACAGAAACATTTTTAGTGATTGTTTTGTATTAATCACAGCATTAGAAGTGATTTTCCACTGAACTCTTTATGTTTTCCTCTTTCAAGCCTGCATCTAAGCTTTGCATTTGTTTTAAGAAATAAAGCTAATTTTGTGTAATTGAAATAATTTACCATGGAAGATGATAAAGAAAGAATGGTCAGGAGGTTAGCTAAATGTCCTTCCAACCAGACAGTGGAGGGCGGCTCGGGGGTTGTGTTCAGCTTTGCAAACTGTTCTTCACATGTCAGAGGGAAGTGGTGCAAGAAGCCAGCCAAACGTGGTTCCCACAGACCTGCCTCAACACTTTAGACTTCCCTTTCGTCATGGTTGGTTTTGATGGTGACTCAGCTAGCTGTGGCTTCAGTATAAGAAACTTGTAACTTTGTATTGAACTGGAGGACTGGCTGCTCCTATCTTTATTCTTGGGCCCATAGCCAGAAAAATTAACCATTCAGTGAAGGGCTGTGTGTGTGTGTGTGTGTGTGTGTGTGTGTGTGTGTGTGTGTCTGCGTAATATAATCCAGTATAATCCAATTTGGGGATGTGCATGTTCTGGTTTGGTTTTTTTCCCATCTTTTTTTTTTCCCCCTGATGCCATAGATTAGGGGGAAGGGGCTTCTAGAACTTGAGTTACTTTTGAGGTCATTTTCCTTCCTGCCATGACTAATTATCTCTCTGCTTCTCAGTTGCAGATCTGACCTCTTCTGAACACTTGGCCGTGTCTCCATTCCTGGGACTCTGAACCCAGCAGCTGGACCACTTTGTCCTTGGGATTTCGGGTGTCCTCGCTTCTCACCTTTCCCTTTCCCCCTCTTCTCTCCCACCTCCTGAGAACTCCTGAAGACTGTAGGATTGTCATGGAGTCCAGGGAAATCTTAAGCACCTCCCGGCAAAGGGGGGACGAGTCGGAATTCCTGCCTGTCTCCTCAGCCAAGCCACCGACTGCTCCCGGCTGTGCAGGAGAATCTTTGCTCTCTGCTCCAGGACCTGGGAAGGGGATCCCAGTGGGCGGAGAACGCATGGAGCCAGAGGAGGAGGATGAACTGGGCTCAGGGCAGGATGTGGATTCCAACTCAAATGCAGACAGTGAGAAATGGGTTGCAGGAGATGGCCTGGAAGAACAGGAATTTTCTATCAAGGAGGCAAACTTTACAGAGGGGAGTCTGAAGCTGAAGATTCAGACCACCAAGCGGGCTAAGAAACCCCCAAAGAATCTGGAGAACTATATATGCCCCCCTGAGATCAAGATCACCATTAAGCAGTCTGGCGACCAGAAGGTGTCCCGTGCTGGGAAAAATAGCAAAGCCACAAAGGAGGAGGAAAGAAGCCACTCCAAAAAGAAGGTAGGGAGCCCCGTTTTGTAGGGTTTTTTGTTAATTCATTTTTGCCACACACCCCCCCCCCCAGCTATTAAAGGTCTGTTTGTTTATTACTTATTTATTTTGGAATTATCAATCTCTTTGATGGAATACTTAACACCCTCCAGAAGAAATGCCTCTGATATCTTGGTACAGTGTCTAATTTATTCTTATGTCTTCTACCCACATGAAAATCAACAGCTACTAGAATTATAATTCTGGAACACTTCTATTTATTGTGTAGCAGCCTCTTGGGTAGGTCAGACCTGGCTAAGCTGTGACAAAATTAGAGAGTTTTTTTTCTTTTTTGGCTTTAATATTTGCATCTGTTATAGTTAAGCGTGGGATATGGAGAGTTTTGGTCAATCAGAAGAGTCAAGAACCTTTATAACCTTCTTTTGGTTTCAACCACCATTGTTAAGCCTGTCTAAAATAGGCAAGTTAATCACTGGACTAAGGAAGTCACCTTCATAGTAATTTAGTCCAGTAGAAGGTGAGAGATCATTGCTCTGAAAGCCAGTGGTGAGCCCTGGAGCTCAAACTGGAGAAAGAAGAAGGGGCGGATAACTGACCTGAATCTTTGTCTAACACATCACAGATGTTTTGAGATTGGGTATTGACTGAACTTGGTTGGTTGTCACTTTCCTCCTACAGGCCTAACTGGTGGAAAGCAGCCCTCTAGGTGATTGGTGGTGGTATTTGGTTGGGAATGAATGGGACCAGGTTTCATTGTAATTATATCACAGGAGGTTACAGTGACTTCCCTTCTTGGGTGGGGTATGGCACTCAGCTATAATAGCAGAGGACTGCCCTAGTCTTGAAAGTGTTCCAAAACTCTCTGGGGCTTGTAAATGCCTCTGAAAGGAGCCCCCTTGTTGACAGAGGTTTTGGGTTCAGGGTGGTAGGAGTTCATCAGAGTCTTTGTAACTTTCCCCCACATCTTGTTTACTTGGGCTCTAGACATGATGGATTAGCTGAAAATAGCACAAATGAATGACCCTCTCTCCATTATGGCTCAGAGATAATCTGTAGCATTTTTTTTACTAGTGGTTTTTGAGCTTTTCTGTAATCATTTTCAGTAGAACTGCTAGGACTCATGTTTTTTCATTGGTGTAAGCCTTGTGTCCTCCCTCACGCTAAGTGTTTGGGCTCATATATTGAATTTAAAATCCAAAGACCCAGATGAGGGGAGGTTTTCTGGGTGACCAGTGCCTTCTGGTTTGCTCAGACTATCCCAGTTTTAAAACCAAAAGCCCTGAAACCAGGTACCCCTTCAGTCTTGGGCAAGCCAGGACAGTTGGTCATCTTATTTTAACCTTTGGAATATAAAATAATTTTTAGAAATCAGCTTGTTTTCACAGAGCACAGAGGTTGAGCTTTCCTTCCCCTGTCCCCATTACAAGTTGCAGTGATTTCTGGGGTTTCTGTCATAAAAGATTACCTAAGTGCCTTTGGAAACTTTTGAAATTCTTGCCAGAAAATGGAACAGTTCACATTAGGCTCCACTTGGAAAGTGAGGCTTTGCTTTGGAGTTGGGTCTCTTCAGCTTTGAAAATGAGTATCTTTGTCTGTGGCCATTGAGATGGCCAGTTCTTTGTGCATTGTTGGATTTTTATGTGGGTGGGCAGTCTCAAAAACTGTGGTAACTGTTTTCCCTCCATCCCCATCACTGCCAGGGTTTGAGCAACAGCCCACAGTTTGGGGTGTGCAAACCCAAGTTCATTACCCTAGAAAGAACTACGTTGTCCTGATCAGTTATGACCTTCCATAAAGCCACAGGAGTATTCCCAAAGATAGTCCTCTGCCTCTTGGAATGCCCCAGAATAAAACTCTGGAATTTGTGACATGGGGATGATTTAGAAGCTGCAGTGTGCAGTGGACCTCCATTCTCATTTCTGAAATTCTCAGGCTGGTCATCATTAACCAAAAAGCTGGATGCCCTTTTTGTGCTTTATCGGAAAGAGAGGTGACATCACTTCTCCCAATGTGTGACACCCCAAGTGAGTGTTTCTAAGTCTCAGAAATTGGAAGGGAGGCAAAGGGAGGGGAAGGACTAAAATTCAGCTCACAGTGTTGTGTTATGCTGGTTATGCTGACACTGTAATGGGAGTATCTACAAAAATTTTAAATTGTTAGGGGCTTGCTTCATACTCTGCTTCTCCATCCGTCCTAAATTTATTTATGCCTAGAGCGGTTACTTCCCAGAAATGAATGAATAAAGTTATCAGTACTGAGTCTTAATCACTTGATAGATGATGGAAACGTTCTCTGATCTCTATTGGATTAGAATGTTAACTCTCTTACTCTCCAGAGTTCCTGTTGTTTGGAAAAGAGGGAGTTAGTAAAAGCTGAAGTTGAGGTGGAGAGGTAGAAACCTTGCTTGCTGTTTCAGGGCCATGAACTTGCAGAATTTACTTATTTGTAGGAATGTGAAACGTGATCAGTAACTTCGGACGGGGGAAAGGATGAGGATGGCATTTGGTAAGCAACGGATCAGAGTCTGACTCCAAAATCCAGTCTTCTGGGTCTTTTTTTAAAAAGCAAACTCTACCCTCAATGTGGGGTTCAAACTCACAACCCTGAGATCAAGAGTCGCAAGCTCTACTTGACTGACCAGCCAGGTGCCCTGCCACCACTTTTTTTTTTTTTTTTTTAATGAGGCAAGCCACTCATTGGAGAAGTGTGCATGGAGTGGCCCCTGGGACTCAGGTCCTAGACTGGGAGCCAGGAGGGAGGCTCAGTTGACCTGATCCTTGAGTTGGTAGAGATGCGTACTTGGGGGTCACCTGAATATAGGTGTTGGCTTAGAGCAGGGGTCCGCAAACTGTAGTCTGTGGGCCAAATCTTGCTCCTTCCCTGTTTTTATACAGCCCACAAGCAAAGAATGGTTGGAAAAAAATCAAACAAAGAATAATATTTTGTAACATGTGAAAATTGTTTGAAATTCAAATTTCAGTGTCCATAAATACAGTTTTATTGGAACAGAGCCACATCCATTTGTTTACATTTTGTCTATGACTGCTTTTGCACGAAGACGGCAGAGTGGAGTGGTTGTGACAGAGACTGTATGTCCCACAATGCTTAAACTGTGTACTATCTGGCCCTTTCCAAAAGGGAAAAAATTATGTATATATACATATATATGTGTGTATATATATACATATATATGTATATATATACATTATTATTATTACTATTATTTGACGAGCCTTTTTTTAGGGAAAGGACATAGAGTTTCAGGATAACAAGGATTTTGTTTCGTTTTGTTATTAAGGATTCAGCCTCCAAACTTGGAGGCTGGGGGAAATTGGGTGTTACATCATTATGTGCTGACTTTTTTTTTTTTTCTTTTTTTGTAGACCAATTAATTTTGTTCAAGTCATTGTTTGACAGCCTTAGGCAAAGACAGCTTATATTGGATCCCAAATGATTTTCTTTTTCATTGGTTTTTGTAAAAAGAATACTCCTTAGGATAATGATAGCGTTCCTTACATAACAGAGCTAGGTTTTTGCTAGGCTAATTGTATTTCAGTATGTTCTACTACTTTGGTGTGAAGATGTGTATGTGTGGCACCCTCAAGGGCTTTATTCCAAGACTGAAACCTAACACCAACCCTCCAAACCAGAGAGGCATTATAGATGTTGAGGCAACATGGCCTCTAAAGTGGTAGGATGGTAGGAGGGACCCATGAAGATACTCCCTCACTGGCTCAAGTTTGCATGGACTCTTTCTAACCAGGGGACAGGTCACCTGTCTTCCATATGAAATTGAGATGACAACTGAAGTGCTATATGGCAGTGGGTTTCTGATGAATGAATTTATGTGAGGTGTAAGAGTAGCATTTGGTGAGAAGTAGAGGCTGAGAAGAGAATTCTGAACATATTTCAGGGCCTCAGAACTGTGCTGTGGATGGACCTCCTTTGCAGATGATCTCATTAAAGAAAGGCAACTTGCTCTTTACCATGGTACCGGCATTGTTGCATATTAGACTTACTCAGGCAAGTGATGAAATAACATAAACTTCATGTAGTTCCCTTCTAGGTCACTCAGTGAAAACAATAGAGAACATGAGACAGAGTTTCTAGAAGCAAATTCAAGTATAGCACATGAATGTAGAATGTTCCAACAGTGACAAGTCTTTGAAAGGCTCGCAGCTGGGCAGAGCTTAGCAGCTCTCCTCTTTCCTGAGTACTTTTTGTGAGAATCAGGAACTCCTCTCCGGGTTCAACAGGATGAGAAGGACAGGGGACTTTTACCCAAGCTGCATTCAGTGACCCAGGCTAGGAGATGTGGGTGGCAATCTGTACCAACTGGCTCGGTGGCTTTGGATGTGGAGTATAACCTTGCTGAAGCCCCAGTTTCTTTATCTGCCAGATAGAGATGATAATTTCCACATTGTATAACTCAATGGAAGATTTTAGGAAAAATGGGTAACTTACAGAGCACACATCATGATAACCAGTTTGGATTTGTGGCAAGTCCTGTGCTAGCTGTTTTACATGTATTTACCTTCACTATTAGTCCTTATAACAGTCCTGCCAGGCAGATACTACTTCTTCACAGATGAGGAAATTGAGGCTCATTTGCTTCAAAAGAGCAGGAACAGAAATGGGCAGGGTTGGTCTTTGAAGCCAGTTCTTCTGTACTCCAAAGCTAATGTTGTATTCCAGTCCTGAAGTGGCCACACTCTAAAAGACTGCTGGAAGGTAAAGATTCTAAGCACTGGGACATTTCCTCTACACCTTCCAACATTAGTTAGGGTGACGAGATCATAACCTGGTATATTGCCCTTAATTCTAAGTGTTCTGGGTTGTTTGAAGGAAAATTCAAATCCTCATGAGTTAAAGTCTTGTTCTTTTCCTTTGTTGTGCTTACAGATTTTTATTTCCTTTAACCAAAATGCAACTTCTATTTCATTTCTTTGGATTTAGTTTTCCCTTTTCCCAGCTTCATCAAGAGAACCTGTTTCCTCCAATAGCAAGAA